TTTCACATACACACATGTACATGCCTATGTTTGCATACACACACATATACACATAACTGACTGCCTTCCCTGGAAGCACAGAAGAAGAAGAAGCCACCAGAAGAAGCCGCCCACCTTTGGTCCAGGCGCCAGCGCCTGCGGCTTGCTGCAGCCCAGGAGACGGACAAGCCACCCGCCCGAGGTCCTAGGCTGCAGCCACCCGGAGAAAGCTGCCAGCCCTGTGGTCCAGGGCGCCAGCGCCTGTGGCCAGGGAAATAGGTTCCCTCTTCTCCTACTGCAGTCATTACTTCAATGTTCCCCTTCTGAGTTTCTCTCCTGTGCTGCAACCCAACTCCACTTTTCATCAGAAGGATACGGAACAGAGAGAGCAGTGTTAAAAGCTTACATTTTTAAGCCGGTAAGGTTGGTACTTAAACATATAAATGGAAAACTAGAGTCCTTAAGGTAACAAAAGCTACAAAGGACAGGGACAGTGCATGACCTATTATATCCAGCAATCCATATGGGGACTGAAAACTTTGCAATGATGACAATTAGTGAAGATATGAATCAACTAAAATAGTTGACAGGGACAATTCTTCCATCTTTGGAAATATTTAGATCAAATCTGTTTAAATAGATTTTCATCTGCATAATATAACACATTCTGACAAGACCACCACCACCACCAATGTGGTCAGTGTTGTTTAATAACTGAGGGACCCCCCCCCCAGTGCACAAATTTTTGTGCACCGGGGTACTAGTATATAATTTTTATTGATTTCAGAAAGGGAGAGAGATAGAAACATCAATGATGAGAGAGAATCATTGCTCGGCTGCCCCCTGCACACTCTCTAGTGGGGATCGAGCCTGCAACCCGAGCATGTGCCCTTGACCAGAATCGAACCCGGGACCCTTCAGTCTGCAGGCCGGCACCCTATCCATTGAGCCAAACCAGCCAGGGCGTGGGGCGTATGTTTTGCCCTAAGGGATCCTGTAGCCAAGGTGGCCCGAGAACATGGCGGCACGCCACCAGCATGTGTCCCACCCTGAAGGACACGGGGAAAGGTCATCGCTCAGATCTTCCTGGACGAGTTGAAAACATTTTAAATTGCCCCTAATCAGCTGTTGAGTTATAAAGAATCAGCACCCAAACCATCAAATAGTTAGGAAATCACAGTTGGAAAAGTTACTCCATGTTTAAAATTGTTTATTGTTGGATAGAGAGAGAAAGGGAGAGAGAGAAGCTTCTATTTGTAGTTCCGCTTATTTGTGCATCATTGGTTGACTCTTGTATTGGATGCCCTGAATGGGGATACACCCACAACCTTGGCATATGGGACGACACTCTAACCAACGGAGCTAAACGGCCAGCACAGAAAGTTTCTATGAGTTTAGATAAAAACGTACTCAGAGGAAAATTCATAGCCTACAATTTTTCTTTAATGAATGAATGGAGCATACGCCTCAGTAAGCTGAGAGTCCCTTTGAGCTGAGAGGGTGTTTTGATCTGTGGGCAGGCCCATCCCATACCCTCCCAGAAGGACCCACGGCCATTCTTGGTGACCATATGGTCCCTCCCCACTGGACAGCTGGAACGTAGGGTGGGCAACTGTAGCAAACGCTACTGGTTGCCTAGGTAACGTGGACTCTTCCACTCTCCTTTCCCATAGAACCACCTGCTGGGGGAACTACCTTAGGCCACCTGCTGCTCCCGGCCGCTGGCCGGCTGGAGCGTGGGACACGTGACACAAACCTGGCTAACACAGGAGGGGGTCAGCTGGGGACCGGGGGGGAGTTTCCTCCCTCACGAAAGGAGACACAGGCCACCTGTCCTTCCTCCTCTGGATGTGGCTGAACAGGGTCTGATGCCTGGAACGAGGCAGGACGGGTGCTGGGGGAGCCTCTGGCGCAGGAGGCTGGCGCTGCCCAGGCCGGGGCCTGAGGAGCAGGGTGAGTGACCCCAGGTGACCCCAGGTGAACGGCTGCCCTTCAGCTCCACTCACGTGCACAGCCCTGCTGGGATGGGGCCCCTGAGAGAGGCAGGGCCCATCCCTCCCCAGGCCCCAAGCACTCTCACCAGTGCCGCCTCTGACGGCCTCCGAGGCCGCCGCATCCTCTCCTGCCTCTGACACTGAGGGCTCACCTGGCCAGAGCTGTCACCTCCGCCTCTGCTCCGCCCTCCCTGCAGCTTTCCTTCCGCCCCACCCCACCCCCCGCCCACTCCCCAGCACAGCGTGACCTCTGTCCTCTGGTGAGCACTACCCTCCCCACAAACGGAACCCCAATACTCACTACTTCCCAAGCAGCACTATTCTCCCATCAACACAGCTCCCCCCCACACACACACCATTTCTCTCCTCCGTTCCCTTCTCTACCTTCCCCATCACCACTCCAATCGCCCCATCTCTCAGGTCACCACCAACACCTCCTGTCCGGCCCCCAACCTTCACCCTAACCACCACCTGGGCCATTGCAACTGCCTCGGCCCCACCTCCCCCACCCACAGGCATTTCTTAGCGCTCCCATCTCCCTCCTGTCACCACCCCCATCGCCCCACCACCTCCACCATCAGTGAATGAACCTTTATTGAGCACCAGCAAACCCCAGCCCCTCTACAGATGCACAGGAGGCGCGGCCCCGCCCCAGGCCTGTCCCCCCCGTCCCCCCCCCCCCCCGCAAGGCCCCTCACTGCAGCTCCCGGTGCTGTGTGCAGCCCAGGACGCAGGATGGGGTGGGTGCTGGGCCCGCGGTGCACCTGGGACCCGGAACAGGGTCCTGAGGCCTCTGCCAGGTTCCATTGGGGGGCGGGGGTGGGGGGTGTCATGCTTTTTTCCTGAGAGCAGAACAAATAAATAATGGAGGGACTGGGGAGCCCCTGTGGGCGGGAGGCCAGGCTTTGGCTTATGTGACTCCATGGGAGTGAGACAGGCGGCCAGGAGCCCTGTGCCTGGGTGTGGAGGGTAGAGGGGTGGGGAGCTGGGGCAGGAGCCTGGGGCCAGAGGGTCCTAGGGCCAACCTGGCGTCTGCCTGGCCCTCACCTCTGGGTCAACAGGACATGTGGCGGAAATGCAGGTGGACTTGAAATGGTGGCTGGAGGGGAAGGGGGTGGCTGCAGGCCGGAGACCATGCCCCTGCCTGCAGCCCCTAGAGGGGGGCGTCATCAGTCCTCCATTTGGGGGGGTAGCTCTGCTGGTGGCCGTCGCAGCTGGGGTTCCCCATGTGGTCCAGAGGCACCACCACCTCGTCTGGGTTCGAGTTTTTGTTCAGTTCCACCACGCGCGGCACCACGGAGGACCAGCGATCTGGAGTGAGCACAGGGAAGTGAGAGTTCGTGGGGAGTGCACGTGCACCTATGGAGCGCCTACTGTGTACCAGGCTCTCCACAGTGACCTAAGGGGGAGGTCTCATCGTCCCCATTTCACAGAGGTGGAGACTGGGCTCAGAGAGGTCAAGGTGCCTGCCCAGGAGCAAATGAATTCAGGCGAGAACCTGAGCGCCCCGTCCTCCCGCGTCTCAGGCACTCAGTGTGTGGAAGGGGGGCCCCAGGCATGCACGGCAGCAAAGGCACTCAGCGGGCAGCTCATCCGACCCGCCCATTCCACAGACGGGAACACCGAGTCTCAGAGAGGACAGGATCGCTCCAAGCCGATTAGTGATGGGACTGGCCCAGGGCTGCCCCTCTGTGCCCTGCGTCGGCTCCCCAACCCCCCGTCCTTCCGCTCACCCCTCCGGAGGCGGCCCATGGTGTGGGAGAAGCCGTAGTACTGGTAGCTCTCGTTCTTGCCCGGGTCCTCGTTAATGATGCCCAAGTTCTGGTTCCAGTGAGACCAGTTCACCTCGTCCACCCTGCGGGGCCACAGCAGGGAGAGGTCAGGGGGAGCCCCCACCCCCCGGCCGCCTCCCAGCGCACCCTCCTCCTCATTTTTATTCCAACCATTTTATTCCAACCATTTTTGAGTAAACAATTCAGGGCATTAAAGAAATGCCCAAGGTTGTGCAACCGTCACCTCTCTAATCCCCAAACTGTCTCATCACCCCAAACAGAAATGAGGTGCCCCATCCCCCCTCCGCCAGCCCGCGGCTGCCTCTCTTCTACTTTCCGCTCCGTGAACTACATGCCCTGGACATTGCGTGTAAGTGGGACACAGAGTGCATGGTCCTGGGCCCGGCTGCTTTCACTTAGCGTGATGTTTTTGAGGCTCGTTCACGTGGTAGCGCGTGTCAGGACTTGGTTCCTTTTCGTGGCTGAGTAACGCTCCGTTGCATGGATGTACCACAGGCTGAGCCACACGTCTGCAGGTGGACCCCCTCCTTCTTAAAACACCCCCCTCTTAGTTTTGGGACACCCACGGAAAGTCAGGTTACAGCCTCTTACGCCCAAATTGGCTCAACGTAATTTTTCCTTTTTAAACTTATTTTTGTTATTTTTACTCAACCCCCATTTCTCGAGCAAGTGCTATGTGTTAGGACCAAGCAAGGAAGATACAGTCACTGTTCCCATTTTACAGACAAGGAAACTGAGGCTTGTTACACTGTCCAAGGTCACAATGCTGACAAATTTGTCGGGATTTGACTTTGGGGTTCAAACGGAACAGGACAGACCGACTGGCCTATGAGCCGGTGCTATTACCACGCCCACTTCCCAGAGGAGGACACGGACGCTGCCTGACCCAAACATGACTGCAGTCCAGGCGGCGCTCACTGTACGAAGAACGACCCGCTTACGAGAAAAGACTGGCTCCGGGTTCCCCTAAGAAGCCGGCGTCGGCCGGGCCCCTGGGGAACGTCGCCAGCCCTGGAAGCTGCTGAGTCACCTCTCCCCCTCAGCGAGGCCCCGCGCGCTTATCAGCAGGGATGGAGCCCCGACTGACACCGCCTCCGGCCTCTGCTCCCCCGCAAGGGACAGAGGAGCCGCAGCGCTACTGTGTCCCGGGCACGGGCAGGCGCTGTCTCCTGCGTAACCCATCCGATCGCACGGCTGGCCCGGGGGTGGGGGTGGGATTAGCATTGTCCCCATTTCACAGGTGAGGAAACCAAGGCTGAGAAGTGAACCCCTCGCCCAGCCTCAGCCAGCAGAACAGAACTTCGGTCAGGGCCATCGTGGCCTGTGGCTTGAGGAGCCACCACGGGTGGAAGACGCAAGGCGGCCCGAGGGTCCCGCCCCGTCCACCCGTCCACCCGCTCACCTGAAGCACCACCTGCGGTCCGGGGTGCCATCCGAGCTCTTGCCCACGGTCACCATCTCGCCGGAGCGGAAGGCCTTCCTCAGGAACACGGGGAACGAGCGCTCGATGTCCAGGATGGTGGTGGCCCACTGGAAGCGGGAGCACAGGCCGGGGTGAGCCTCGCCCGCCCGCCCACTGCCCTGACGGCAGAAATGACGGCAGGCGGGGTGGGCAGAGAAGTAGGTTTCCCAGCTCCCACTGACCCTGGAAACGGTTACAAACTCGAATCCCCCTGACCCAGCAGAATAAATGGGTGAGGCAGCATCAGAGGCAGAAAGGCCGCAGCCCAGGGCTCAGCACAGCAGTCACCGCTCAGTGCGGGGAGCACTAGGGAGGGGTGGGGCCTGGGGCAAACCAGAGAGCACAGCCCACGTACAGGGGGCGGCCAGGCAGGGATGTGGGCCCACCTCGCCAAGAAAGGCCACAGCCTGGATTTTTATGTGAAATCTCTTAACTTTTAAATTCTGCATTACATTTTTTTTTAATGATAAAGAAAAAAATAAATCTTTGCTGGTCAAATCAGTCCTCAGGCTGCCGGTTTGCATCTGATGAGTCGCACCCGGTGGGGGGGCGGGGGGACTGAGGCCGTGCGGGTAAGGACTCAGAGCAGATCTGGATGTTGCCCTGAGGCCGGCGTGGGAGGGTGACCTTGGGGTTCTTTCCTCACTGAGTCAGGGAGATGCAGTGCGCGTGCCTGGGCCTTGGAAAGCCCTGACTGTGAAAACCAGATTCGGGACGGTGCGCGGCCCGGGCAGGCGGACCCCCAGGCCTCTGCTGCCTAGGATCGCACCCGGGCCAGTGAGGCCCAGTCCGCACTGTCTTCCACACGGCGGCACCCCGGGGTGGCGGGGCTGGACGCTGCCCCTGGCCCCTGGCCTCGGCGCAGACCCTGCTGCAAGGCCCGGCTCCCTGAGCACTCCCTGTGCCAGAGCCTCTCGGTGCCCGGAGGCGACTGTCCTGGGAACTGGACCCCAAGGTGGGGCGAGACCACTGCTGGCGGTCAGGCAAGAAGCCGTTGGCAACACAGTAGGCGGCTCTGGGAAGCAGGCGCAGCCTGGGATGCCCATTCTACAGACAGGGAGGTGGAGGCAGGAGCGGAAGGCTGAGGAGGTGGTGGGTCCGAGGCCCCGCTCGGAAGGAGGCCGCGGGGGCGGGGGAGCCGCTCACCTGCAGCTTCCAGATGTGCTTGCTCTCCTTGGAGACCTGGCCCACCGTCTCCCCCATGAGGGCGATGAGCATGTTGAGCAGCAGCACGAAGGTGAGGATGATGTAGGTGACCAGCAGCACGATGAACACGGCGGGGTACTTGGTGCTGCTCAGCATCTCCAGGTCGCCCATGCCGATGGTCAGCTTGAACAGGTCCAGCAGGAAGGTGCTGAAGGTGTCGCTGTCGCGGCACGAGGGGTACGTGGGCGCCGTGCAGTTGGCGTGGTCCTCGCCGCACTCCTTCATGCTGGCGCACGGGTTCAGCAGGGACACCAGGGCTGTGGGCAGGACGGGGGGGCATTCGCTGAGTGTCAGACGCCAGCTGAGAGGGGGAGAGTCATCCCCATCGGATGGAGGGGAAACTGAGGCTTGGTCACAGGAGAGCACGGCCCAGGGCTACCCAGCACGTCAGCCAGGCCGGGGTCTTCCCGAATCCAAAGCCACTGCTCTTCCCAGAACTGCCAGCGAGGAGAAGGGCCTCCACCTGGGGTGACACCCCCCCCACCCCCGGGGCATCTGCAATGTCCTGAGAGGGCGACCCCGCCCCCCTGGCATCTGCAATGACCTGAGAGGGTGACCCCCCTCCACGGCATCTGCAATGACCTGAGAGGGTGACCCCCCTCCACGGCATCTGCAATGACCTGAGAGGGTGACCCCGCCCCCCTGGCATCTGCAATGACCTGAGAGGGTGACCCCGCCCCCCTGGCATCTGCAATGACCTGAGAGGGTGACCCGCCCCCCTGGCATCTGCAATGACCTGAGAGGGTGACCCCCCTCCACGGCATCTGCAATGACCTGAGAGGGTGACCCCCCTCCACGGCATCTGCAATGACCTGAGAGGGTGACCCCGCCCCCCTGGCATCTGCAATGACCTGAGAGGGTGACCCCGCCCCCCTGGCATCTGCAATGACCTGAGAGGGTGACCCCGCCCCCCTGGCATCTGCAATGACCTGAGAGGGTGACCCCCCTCCACGGCATCTGCAATGACCTGAGAGGGTGACCCCGCCCCCCTGGCATCTGCAATGACCTGAGAGGGTGACCCCCCACCCCCCGGGGCATCTGCAGTGTCCTGAGCCGTGTTCGGTTGCACAGCCGGAGGGAGTGCTGCTGGCGTGCACTCGGCAGAGGCCAGGGATGCTGACAAACACCCCACGCACAGGACAGCCCACAGGAGAATCATCCGGCCCCAAAGCCACACGTGCCGAGGCTGAGAAGCCCTGCTCCAGCCCGGCGTTCCCGCAGGTCCCGGGAGCCTGGGACCCGAGCTCCGGGCAGACGCTCTCTCTGCTCACAGAGGAAGAGCAGGAGCCGAAACCGGCGCCAGTGCTGACGGCCCAGAAGCCGCGCTCGCTAAGGCCCTCACCCCTCCAGACACCTCAGCCGACAGTGGTGCTCAGCCCAGACGCAGCTTCAGATCCTTCTCAACACAGCTGAGCAGCAACAACCGCCCCTGACCCCCAGGGCAGGGAGCATGCGGGACGGAGCCCCTGCGCCCTGTGGGCATAGAACGCCTAGTGCCTTCCACCTGGGATTACAGCTCCTGCAACGCCACTCAGTTGTGTAGCGGCTGCTGAAATGTGTGTTGAGAAGGATTCTGAAATCTTGTCTGGACTCATCAGAAAAACCGTTCTGTGATCCACTGGCCATGTCTGTCACAGGACAAACGTGGAACAAGAGCACGCGTCACGTTTGTGTCATGTCAATCGCAGACCAGGGAGCGAGTGTCCCGCAGCAGAAGCCCCGGCAGCAAGCTGACCACTCAGCTGCCACTTTAACCACGAAGCTTCTGCCTCAGTTTCTATAGTTAGGACTGCAGTCGGGCTGGGCTTGACCCGAATCCCAAACCACTGTGGAACCCCTGACACTCTGTCTAGTTAGTTCTTCTAAGTCCCATCACCGGGAGGGGGCAGCTGTAGCCGGTCCCTCTCTCCCCAGCTAAGGCTGCAGTTCTGGTTCCCGGAATCACCCACCATCTGGTTAAAATATCGCTACCATCAGATCCTGCTCCAGGGCTGGTCCCCGACCAGCCTCCTCAGGTGGAGTGTGGCAGGCGAAGCCTGAGTCGGCCACTCGCGTTTGGACGCTGAGCATCGAATGGGCGATCACCCACCCCCTAGAGACCAGCCAGGCTTGGTCCGTTCCCTGTTCCTGGTCCTTCCCCCACAGCCTGTGCCACCGAGGTCCCGCGGCATCATGACGTCACGGAGAAGCCACACTTGAGGGAGCCAGTATTGAGCTTTAAAAAGGACCTGGGCTGCCTGACCGGCGTGGCTCAGTGGTTGAGCATCGACCTATGAACCAGGAGGTCAGGGTTCAATTCCCGGTCAGGGCACGTGCCTGGATTGTGGGCTCGATCCCCAGGAGGGGGCGTGCAGGAGGCAGCTGATCAATGATTCTCTCATCATTGATGTTTCTCTCTCTCTCTCTCCCCCTTCCTTTCTGAAATCAATAATTAATAAACAAATAAATAGACCTGGGCTGATAGATTACTTATGAGAACTCACTCTCCCTGTAGCCCCGCCCCTTCAGTGTGGCTTGCAGCTCCTTCTGTGGCGAGGTCTGGTCTATTTCCCCACCTCTGAACCGAGGCCGCCTTCAGTTTGCTTTGGCCAATAGAGGGAGCAGAAGTGATGCCGTGCCAGGAAGTGACCTTGAACACTTCCGCTCACGTTCTGAGACCCCATAGACCACCCTGTGCCCCAGCCCCATCGAGCCGGCTGGAGGGTGAGTGACCACAGGGGAGAGCAAAGACCAGGCAGACCAGCCAACCCACCCACGGAGCTCGGACACAGGGCCTGGAAGACTAGCCAGATCGGTCCCGGCCAGCACACCACCTAGCGGAGCTGGACTCCCGAACAATCAATGCATGGGGGCTGTCTTAAGCCACTGCGTCTTATGTGGCTTCTAATAATAGTTAACATGCCAGTTGCACCGTTTCCTAGCTTTCGAACCTGGGCAGGTTATTTAACCGTTCCCCGCCTGTTTCCTCGTCTGTGAAAGGAGAAGCGAAGGCTTGTTATCTTACAGACGTGCCGGGAGAATGAAGAGACGGGGATGGGGAAGGACTTAGCCCAGCGCCTGGCACCAGTGAGAACGCCACACCCGCTGCTTGTCTTCCCCGCACACCACGCCACCCGCAGCCCCCTGGGCGCCCAGAGCTCACCTGACGCGTAGCCGATCATGAAGAGCAAGTAGACCAGCAGGAAGCGGAACAGGTCTTTGAAGAGGATCTACAGACACAGCGGATGACGGAGGCAAAAGTGAGACACACGGCTTCTCGCTTTCCCCGTGCCTCCATCCCAAATCCCCTTTCCAACGCTCCCAGGCCCTCCCGATGCCCAGGCCCTGCCTGCTGCCCCCGCGTGCCCATCAGGCCCACGGGCACTGTCCCCGCATGTGAGACGTGTACTTGGCGTGGGGGCTCCCTCCAGGGCACGCAGCTCCGCGGGTCCCCCACTCCGTACCTTCTGGATCATGATGCTGTAAGTCCCTGTTAGCTTCAGCCCACGTGTGAAGTAAAGGGCGTTCATCCAGCCCAGGACCAAGGCGAAGACCATGACCGCCAGGTACGCCTCGATCCCTGCCAGGTAGAGGGCCGCCGAGACAATCACCAGCACGGAGTAGATGAAGCTGCAGGCAGCAGAGACCACGGGAGGGGCCGGGGGGAGGGGCAATGAGGCCCTGAGGGGAGACAGGCCCTAAGCCCTCCAGGGTGAGAAACCCAGAAGACGCACAGTGGGTTCCCTGGGCTCCCCAGCATTCTGTTACTCAGAACGCTCAGTGAATTGACAATTACTGTGTGTGCAATGGCCTGAGCCCTGCAAGATCCCTAAGTGATGCCTTTGGAACCGCTAGAGCAGCGGTTCTCAACCTGTGGGTCGCGACCCCTTTGGGGGTCGAACGACCCTTTCACAGGAGTCGCCTAAGACCATCGGAAAACACATACATAATTACATATTGTTTTTGTGATTAATCACTATGCTTTAATTATGTTCCATTTGTAACAATGAAATTGGGGGTCACCACAACATGAACTGTATTAAAGGGTCATGGCATTAGGAAGGTTGAGAACCACTGCGCTAGAGAGTCGTGGTGTGCAGTGGGGATTTTGTGCTCATGGACTTCACTGCTCTCCGGCTCTAAGGGAAAGGAAAGACGTAGCCACCTGCAGTACAGCCTGTGCCCGAGGCAGACATCAATAATCCATCACCGCACTCTCCCACCAAACACAGACACAGCCTCAAATCCTCTCAGCAGGGCACTCCAGGCAGACATTCATAATCCATCACCAGCACCAGAGGTTCAATTATTTCTATCCCCGGTGTGTGTGTTAACTCTCTAGCAACCAGAATCTTGCTGTAATCAGACCCTACTGCTTAGCATCGATTGGCCTTGTCCTGACTTCGGGCTCCAGGTGGCCAGGCTGGGTGAACTCACTGCTATTAGGAGTCACACCCCCACACCCTGACCTGGACGATGTCCCAGCCCAACCCCACCTTCCTGACCCAGGGCTGCCAGCCAGGGCCTCCACTCACTAGAGCAGCTGGAAGGAACCATCGATGAAGAGAGAATTCACTCCAGGGCATTTCTTCATGAACAAGTCTTTGATCTGGAGGCAGGGGGAGGCAGGTGAGGGGTGGAGCCCCAGGAGCACAGAGGGAGGGGAGGGGAGGGGAGGGGGGGAGGGGGGGGAGGCAGAAGAAGGAAGAGAATAGAGGGAGGCAGACTACTGTGCAGAGAAAAGACGATGGGCCTGTCTGTTGGGAAAGGAGGGACGAGCAGAGGGGAGTACAGGGCTGGAGAAGGGGGCGGAGGAAGGAGGAAGAGGAAAGAGGGAAGGGGAGGAGGAGGAGGAGGATGGGCTGGGCTGGTGGGTTTGGGGCCACACACTCACGTTGGTGAGAAAGAACAGGACCCCGGTGAAGAGCGTGATGACCTCCCCGGCCAGCCTCAGGTAGTCCACGGTGGTGCGGTAAGGGTACGGCGGCTGGGGGGCGGGGGACGCAGGTCCTCACCAGCCCCTCCAACACCGAGTCCCAGGTCCAGAAGTCCCCTCAGCGGCCCAACATCGGACCCCAGGGAGCCTCCTCCCTCCTCTCCCCGCTGGGCGCGGGGAGGCACCCCTCCATCCTGCTCCCCAGCCGCCTCTGGTTCCCCGGCAGGGGACGCCTGGGGGCCCGTGCCCAGCCCCGCCCGCCACGGCCACTCACGGTGCCCTCCAGCGGCTGGTAGTAGGCGGTCAGGGTGAAGATGACCATGGCGCACAGGTAGGAGACCACGTTGATGTAGAAGGAGACGGCCCCGAACTTGCGCCACTTGTCCCGCAGCAGCTCGTTGATGGGCTCCACGGCCAGCATCTCGTGGCGGTTCTGCGGGCCGGGCGTCAGGGCTGCGCTGGGCAGGCGACCGACACGCCCACCTCCCCCGGCACTGCTCCTCCTGACCCCATCCTCAGGGAGGAGGGAGTGGGACTCCGCCCCCAAGGCCTATTCTAGGCTCAGAACCCGGCTGGAAAGCTGTGCTCACGGTCCCCAAACTCCCAGCTGGGGATGGTATCGAGCTGCTTGCCCAAATACAAGCCCCTGGGCTTCCACCTCCAGATTCTGACTCAGGAAGCCAGACTGGGAGATTCAGCCCAGGACGCTAAATACCTGACTCACCACAGCTTCCCAGTGTCGAACCCAGGCCAGACATCACTGACCGAGTCCTGCACCGCCGTCCTCCATACCGCTCCCCAAGCAGAAACTAGCGGTCAGAGTTGGCACCAGATACGCTAAACCTCCCGCCACCCCATCAAAATCAAGTCATGCCCTGGCTGGCTTCGCTCAGTGGATGGAGCATCGGCCTGCGGACTGAAGGGTCCCGGGTTCGATTCCAGTCCAGGGCACATGCCCGGGGTTGCAGGCTCAATCCCCAGTAGGGGGCGTGCAGGAGGCAGCCGATCAATGATTCTCTCACCATTGATGTTTCTATCTCCCTCTCCCTCTCCCTTCCTCTCTGAAATCAATAAAAAATATATTTTTAAAAAAGAAAAGAAGCCGAAACCGGTTTGGCTCAGTGGATAGAGCGTCGGCCTGCGGACTGAAAGGTCCCAGGTTCGATTCCGGTCAAGGGCATGTACCTGGGTTGCGGGCACATGCCCAGTAGTGGTTGTGCAGGAGGCAGCTGATCGATGTTTCTAACTCTCTATCTCTCTCCCTTCCTCTCTGTAAAAAATCAATAAAAAAAAAATATTTAAAAAAAGAAGAAGAAAAGAAAAGAATCATGTCCGTCAGTAATTTCAAGATGGGGAAGTAAGCTCGGGCAAGAGAAGGCCTGTCCACGCTGGGCGGCCAGGGCGGGAGGGGGGCCTTCTGCACCCAGGCAGCACGCTGCCCCAGCTGTAAGCACCCTGTCCCTCCAATGACTGAGTCTCTTTATAACCACGGATCTGTGCAACAGCGTAGCCACAGAGATGCGACGGTAGTATTTTTTTTCCCGATAGTTAAAGGCAGACACAAACCCACATGACCAAGCACGGAGGAACGGTTCATTAGCATGGGGTCCATTTACACGCAGCAATGATGTCGCACAAGAATATTTAATGGTGCAGAACGATGTTCACAAACTACTGCTAACTGAAAAGAGAGCTTTCGAGACTTCATATAACATCTACTAATGGTAACAGCTGGCACATAACGTTTACTCTGCCAGGCTGCTCTAAAGCTAACTCACGGCGTCTTCCCAGCAGCCCCACGAGATATGCACTGTCCTCATCCTCAGCCTCAGAGAGGCTGAGTCACTTGTCCTGGGTCGCACAGCATGCAAGTTACGGAGCCAGAATCCTGCCCAGGCCTGCCTGCCCCTGAAGCTCCCCCTTACAGTCCCCTCAGCCCCGCCCCGGTGCCAGGCGTCACTTTGGGCACTGAGTTGGCACCTTCGTTTGCACTCAGCCCACAGACCCACTGATTTGAGCCCCAGGCCACCTCCCTGCTCTCAGCCACCCCTCTGTCCCCGCCTGGCGCCCACCTCAATCTTGCTGTTGTACACCAGGATCTCCAGCACCGAGGCCTCTTCCCCACACGTGTCCAGGGAGGAGAGGTCGTAGAGCGAGGAATACACGGGCCCGTAGGCCCAGTCCTTGAACTTGCGGGACAGGTGTCTGGTGTCCTCATCCGTCACCTCCCGGCGGATGATGTGCTGAAAGATCTGAGCAGGAGAAGGAAGGTCAGGGGCCCAAGGGGCACTCCTGAAGGACCCGGGCCGGGCACAGCCCATCAGATGGCTCTCCCCAGAGAGCAGGATGGGGAGGGAAAGTATTTACCGAGCACGCGCTGTGTGCCGGACCCTTTCCTCACAGCATCTTGTCTAATTCTTACCCTTACCGTCCTGGCTTACAGATGAGCAAACGAAGACTCGGAGAAGAGAAGGGTGTCCCGAGGCCACACCAGCCCAGCGGAAGCCAGACTGAACCCAGGCTAGCCTTAACGACCTGAACTATAGATAATGTCATCTTTGTATAATTAAAACAGCAATTAATGAATCTTGTTACTCTGTTAATTCTATAATACTTACCATACCAGCCCTTCCTGTTACCACTCCTACTCTCATTGGCTTTCACACAGGGAAACTGAGGAACAGAGAGGGTGGGAGTCGCCCGAGGCCTGCAGTGTAGTGGGACGGAGCCAGGATCTCAGCCCAGCCCCTCCACCACCCAGGGCTCTGCGGTGAACTGCCACCGTGTAATAGTTGCTATATTTTCAATAGAGTAATAGCCGCCGGCTCTTTACTGAGCTCTTACTACGCATCCCAGGCTCTGTTCCAAGAGCTTAAAGTGGATGCCCTCATCTGGCTGACAGAACAACACTCCGCCGCAGGCACTGTTACTACCCCCACGTACAGATGAGGAAACGAAGGCAGAGAGGGGAGGGGAGACGCCTGAGGAATGTGGCCGAGCCAGGCCTGGGGCCCGGCCCCCCTGACTGCTGAGTCCTCCAGGTTTGCCTCTCCAGGGCGCAGTGTGGCAATGTGTGCAGACACCTGTGCTGCCACAGTGGTGGAGGCTGCTGCTGGCATCCGTAGGCTAAGGCCCGGGATGCAGCTCGGCATCCTACATGCCCAGGACAGCCCCACACCCCAGGGCCATCCAGCCCAAATGGCAGCAGTGCCGGGGCCGCCTCCTGCTCAAGCCCTTGCCCTGGAGGCCAAGGGGGAGGGCCGGCCTCGCAGCAGCTCCGGCCGAACCAGGACCCAGGGGGGGGGTCGGCAGCGCTGGAGCTCTGGGACTCAGGTTTTTCTCAGTGCCTGGTCCTGGCTGGGGGGAGTGGGGGGTGAGCATCCAGAGGCTCCGGAGGGAGTTGAGTCCCTTGGCTGGAAAATAGGGACCCATACCAGGCTCTTGAGTTGGGACATCTGCCCCCCAGGGCTGCCATCCCGGGGGGGGGGGGTCGGGGGGGGGTATATAACCATAATGAATGCCA